GAATAATTTTCTTTCTGTTCAGCTGTTTTGTTCTACAGTCCAATTTCTATAAGATGTATTCTGAAAACCCGTTTTTTTATGTTGGCTTCTAGACCGGACATCGGGTATAAGAATAATTTACTTTCTGTTCATCATTTTTTTGTTGTTCAATTTCTATTGGATGTTTTCTGAAAACCGCTTTTAAAAATGTATTTCTGCATGCTTTTCCCCCCCTCAGAGCCTACCTCTTTACTACAACTCCACAAACTTCAGCCGAAAAGAAGATTTCCTCCCCTGCCAATGCTCCCGTTGCCTTAGCAACCGACCCACAAGCGAGAGTCCTCCGAGCCGCCATCACCACCCTCAGGATATGACGTCATCCGTTCTGCGCTCCATGGCGTCCCCCCTCACCCCTCCCACCCCGCCCAGCTCTGCCCTCAGCCCATGCGCGCCATTGCCGCCCCCGCATATGCCGACGTCATCACCGCTGGAGAGCCAATCAGCAATTTCCATCCCCCCCGGCCTTTCCTACGTGACTGCTGGGCCGGACACGGGCAATAACGTTCCGCTCAACCTCTCTGCTAGCGCCAGGGTCAACGACACCGGGAAGGAAAAGTCCTTCGAGGTGAGTAATGTACTTGACATATAAACTTAACAGTACACACTGCAGACTTCTTCGTGGAATCCTGATTTGATAAGGTGGTCTGCATTTATTGCAGGTGGACAGATTTACATCCATGAATAGACGGCATAATTGTTCCCCTTTAAAGTAATGTTCTTCCCGCATCTGATCCGGACACTGGGGGTTACCTTGTTAGTGAGACAACTTCCTGGGCCTTCAGCATAAATAATATTGTGGTAGGGTGGCCAGTTCCTTTCCACGCCGCCTTTACTTCCCCAACTCAAAGTCAGGTACTCACTACTGCTGAGTGGGCAGGTGGGGGCGAATTGACAAGGCGGCTTACATCTATTGCAGGTGGACAGATTTACCTCCTTGAATGGACGGCATAATTTTATTTATTTATTTTTTTTTTTATTGTTTGGTCATATCATAACGAAATCCTCCATTATCAAACAGGACTATTTGAAAATCTAAGCAGCATTCCTACAAAATTAGACACGTCATAATCTATTTTCGCCAATGTCATGGGTGGTGGTTTAGGTCTAAAGAAACTCAACTTTGCTGGTACTGCCAAGAGAGTGTGTGTATGAGAGAGAGAGAGAGAGAGAGAGAGAGAGAGAGAGAGAGAGTGTGTGTGTGTGTGTGTGTGTGTGTGTGTGTGTGTGCGTGCGCGCGCCTGCATGTGTGCGCGTGTGTACGTTTGAGTGCGTATTAGATAATGGATGTGTATTTAAATAATATGTTTCCATATTATAAGAGATTA